GGGGTCGCCCCATGGGCTGCCTTTGGTGGGCTGCCTTTGGTGAGGCGGTTTAAGCTCTCCTTTGGTTCTTCTTGGTCTTGAGATGCCAGCGAGCTGAGTCCCAGAAAGGGCAGGAGCTCCATCCATCATGGGCTCCTAGCAGCAGCTGGAGAAGCCCGAGAACAGACCTCAGGTGTCTAGATCCCACCAGGAGGGTTCCTGGCATGATGACTTATCAGTTAGCCAGGGTCCTGAGATGCCTCACTCAGACACCTCATGGACAGGTGAGGACAAGAAGGCCATCCCTAGTCGCAAGTCCTTTCACCTCCGTGGCCTGTGGAGACTCAGACGTGGCCTTTGAGGTCACACAAGAGTGGCTCTAGTCTAGGCTCCATCACTGAGCAGCTGTGTGGCCACTAAGAAGTTAGAGCCTCAACCTCCTCCCCTGTGCAGTGTGGGGAGCCTGCACACCTTCTGCCTAGAGTGAGCATGGAAATGGAATCAGAGGGTGGGCCTCGAGGGCTCGGCCCCATTCCTGGGCTTTATACAGAGACTTCTGGAAGATGAAGCCCACCCTCGGGCTCCCTCGGGGGTATCCTTATTAGAGAACAGAAGACAGTGGCCTCTGGCCTTGAGTAGGTCTTGAATTTGAAAGCTCGGGGAAGCGTGGTCTCCAAGCTCCAAGGGGCTCCTCCAGTAAGACAGGAAGGACGGAGAGAAGGAAGGAACGGAAGGAGGAGTCGCAGTTTCGCAAGTGGCGAACGGTGGAGGCTTATCAACCGCGCTTCATGGTCTGGGGCCTTCTACCCAACCTGCTGGTAGACTGTCTCCTCCCCGGCCCTTCCCTCATGCTCTGGGTCAGCTCGGGCCAACAGTCTGGTGGTCAATGGTCAGGGAACCTGGGAGGATGGGGACCCGGGGCTGCCGCAGGAGGATGGGCTGTCCTTGGTGTCAGGCACAGGGGAATGCCCCCTTACTCAGGAGCCATGGCTGACTCTCCTGTCCCCTTCAGCCACCCCCTTGGTCTCTGCTGCGGAGAAGGGCTGGTCGTGGCATCTCCAACATCTGAGTTTGGGGCCCTTGAGTTCGGTGCTAGAAACACTTGAAGAAAGGCACACCAGGTCTCTGTGGATGCCAACTGGCATCTTGGGGTCTGGTCCCCATGGGCTCCCCCTCTTGCATTACTGCCTCTTGTCCAGAGTCCCGGGGTCCCCTAAAGGCTCTCCCCCATTGACAGCAACTTCCCAGCCATTTGTTTGCGGTGTGACCTGGGACCAGTCACCACATCTCTCTGGGTCCTCTGGGCCTCCCTCTGGGCTGTCGGCAGGACTAGCCACGTGGTCTCCAATCCCTTCTCTGTCTGCCTGGGATGCTCTGGACCTGTGGCCCGCTCTCACTTTGGGAATGGAGGTTGAAGGGGGAATGGAGTTTGCAGAGCAGGAGGCGGGGGTTCTTCCAGGTGATCTGGAGGCTGCCCTGAAGCAGTGATGTGGTGTTTTGGGGAGTCTTGGGATGTTGTGTCATTGTGAAAACATTTCCTCCCTCTCCAGGCTGGCCTGCCAGGGGCCAGGGGCCAGGGGCCAGGAAGGAGATGTGATACTGGAGACCTCAGGCCCCTGGAAGGCCCCTGAGTGTCCAATGCCCTGTCCATCTCAGCTGCCAGTGGGCAGAGAACAGGCCAGTGGTGGAGGAGGGAAGACAAAGCTAGCCCCCAGGGCTGCAGGGGTCGCAGTGGGGCTGGCCTACAGGTCCGTACCCAAGACTGAGCCTGGCCTTTCAATTGACCTTGACCTTGGGAAGCTCTTGCCAGCCTGATTATCAACAGTTCGTTCTATTCAGCTGGCAGAGGCCAAGGCCTTTGTGGGCCCACGGTGGCCCCTAGGAAGCTGGAAGCTGGTCCTGGCTCCCGAGGCAGATGCCCACGGGCTCCAGGGCCCTGGCCCGACTTCTGTCTCCTTTCTTTTCCCTGCTTTTGTTTGAACAGAGGACGCCCAGGCCGTGAAAACTCAAAACCACTGGTCATGGCCAGCATCTCTCACACGACCAGGAGGAAACAGCTGAGGGTCTCCA